GCAGCCCTCCCCAGATTCTCAGGATTGATTTGTGTGCAAGCCTGTGGAGCAGAGAACACTCTTGAGTGTTGTTCCTCAGGTGCCATCCAGCTTGTTTTCTGGGACGGGATCTCTCACTGGCCTCAATCTTACCAAGTAAACTAGGCTGGCCAGGCAGTGAGCCTCAAGGATCTGCCTGTGCCATCCCCACAGTCTTGTCTTTGGCTCCTCACTGCTTATGCAGCCATCACTTTCCCAACTGAGTTATCTCACCAAGCCCTCCTCTGGGATTGAAAGGTCTGCCCCAAGGCAGACAGCTCCTCAAGCTAGCAGGAAGCTGGGGCAGGAGGAGAGGAAAGCAGAGAATGATCCCAACAGCACCAAGTTCAACTCTGCTGGTACCCCAACCATGACCGAGTGGTGCGGAGCCAGACTTGTACAGGACAAAAAAGGCCAGCCCACAGCAGGTATGACTGATGGTAAGACAACACACACCCATTCTCTGGGTTCTCCTCCTGCTTGAGCTGTCCCCCTGAGCACTGCCTAGAGAAACAGGTCCCTTCCAAGTCTCTTCCATTCTAAGGCAGGGCCATAGTGCAAATGGAAAAGAAACAACAATTTCAGCTAAAAGTTGAAAAGACTGAGGAGAAATGGTTTGGCAGTTCTTAAAACATTAAATGATCATTTGGCTACTGCAAGCTAGGTATATGCTTTGGAGCTAAAACCTACACATAAAGATTCCTAGTTACAATAACCAAAAGTCTATTTAGTGGGGAGAATGAATTAGCAAAATGTGGTATGTCCATGCAAGGAACATAATTCAGTCATAAGAAAGTTCTGCTGGGAAGAGCTTCTGCTCTAGGATCTTCACCTGGCATTTATGGAAACATCAGTCTAAGGGCATGCTGTGCATATCCTGCTGGCCATGGCAAATTCTGGAAGCAGCTACTGCCATCAGGGCTTGGAGCACTCCTCAAGCAGCTGCTGTCCCCATGCTGGCTACCACTGACATTCCCTTCCTGACCAGGTGACCCAAGCTCTGCTCCAAGAAGCTGACCACTGGTGGCAAGAGCCATCAATACAGAACAGATACATCAATACAGATACACAGGATTTGTAACTTCCTAGCCAAATGGATGGAGAAACACTTGAGAGTGGTTAGCTGATACCTCTGCAGCCCAGCTTATATTCCACCTTACAATTTTCCCCAAGGAAGTGTGAGAAATTCTTCCATCAAATACAATCAAGTTTAGAGTCTAAAGGAGAGTCACACTGGCCTGTGCACCACTTGGGACACAGACACAGATGTGTCCCAATCAAGTGAACCCTGAGAGTTGCCCATGCATAGGCTGGAGTTGGTTTCTATGCTTTGAATTGGTAAGAATCTCCATAGTCAACAGCCTGGGCTATCATTCCAGAAGGTGGCAAGGGTCACACATGGCATCCCAAGGCCCCAGAAGGTAGCTGTGAATGCTGCAGAGAGGAGGCCAATGGCTATCCCTCCACCTGGCTCTCTTTACTCTGGCTTCTGCAAAGCCCAGGAAGGCAGTTGGGGGAGGGGCATGTTCTGTAACAGGCAGCTACCCTAAACTATTGCCAAGGTACCCCTGCTTGGGAGACACATGTCAGTCTGGCAACAGAAGTTAGATGGTGGTGTTGCTGAAGATCTGGGTCCTGGTCCTCTTACGTTCCCTGAGCAGACTAAGCCCCTAGATGCCTGAGGTCCTAGAAGGGCCATCCTTGTCTTCTTGGTGTTCAGACAAAGAAGACAACTTGGGAGGGGACCTGCTCCAAGGCTGACAGGATCAAGTGCAGGCTTACATTTCACTTGACAAATAATTAACGAAGCCACCGCTGGGCACTGAAGTAGAGTGGTGAACAGAACAGTTCCACACAGTGACATTCTCCACGGGGGAAAAGAAACCACACCTAGGCACACAAATATGTCAGCCAGGTAAGGAACTGAATCCTACTGAGAAAATAAACCAGGGCAATGTGGCAGGGGGGGGGGAAGGGTGTGGCCTTGATCAGCAGAGAGATCATGAAAGGCCTTGGAGGAAGCAGCCCACACACTGACTTGGGCTATCACTGGGAGGCAGGCACCCAAGACCTAGATAAAGCAGCCAGTGTAAAGGCCATGAGACAGGGCAGGATTCCATGGCACAGCAGTGGTTCTCCAGGTGTGCTCTGGAGCGGGTGAACAGTAAGACACCCTTTCCTTTTGTATTCCAGAGGTCATGGGAAAGCTACTCCTTAAACAGACCAATGCAGAAGCACCCAGGCAGGTCTGACTGCTACTGTGCCAGGCATTAAGATCCCAAAAATGTAAAATGTGAACAGTTACCATTCACAGATAGTTATACTTTTGATGTTTTATATGTGATAGACTATCAAGTAATTAGAAAAAGCATTTTTTTAAAAAGTTTCCATTTCTCGTATTATGAACAGTGACAGCCATAATCCACAAGAACTCAAGCCCTCTGGACTCCTGGGACTTTCAAAGCACACGAAGGGGTCTCAAGCCCTAGCCGTGAGGAGTGCTGAAGGGAGGCAGAGGATTGATGAGAGGGTTGCTGCGCTGCTCCAGTGAGGAGAAGCTGGGGGAGGATGCATCCTAGTGACCGCTTGAGATGAGAGGGAGAGGTGGAGGCTTCTGGGAATATTCAGTTGATGGGAACTGGTCCCATGGAGGAAGTGGCTTCTGTTGTGATCTACTGCGAAGTCTGCAGGGGGCATCTTCTGGGGTAGAACAAGCACTGGGGTACTTGTAGAGGAAATTAAGCAGAGTTCTTGAATAGGTGCTGGTGTGCTAAGTGCTGGGAAGACTGTGGTGGGCTGCCATCCTTCCTCCTACATAACACTCACCCTTCTAACAGCTTGGGGCACAGGGTTTCTAAGTATCTTGTAAGTACTTTCTCTGGTATCAAGTTATGCAGTGGGGCTTGGAGGAAGGGGATGTCAGGTCATGGGGGACATAAATGACAATGTCTTTTCCCTGCCCAAGCTTCATGGCCAATTAAGGGTTGGATGGCCTCCTGCAGCAGTTCCCTGGGACATACTCTAGCCCTCACAGGTATGGCCTCATATCCTCTGCTCCTGGGACCAGCAGCAGGACACAGCAGTGTCCGTGTTGTGCCAATCAGCAAAGGCCGAGGCTCTACTCTGATGCTTGATGATCTCATAGCCTAGCCCTGGCAGCACTGGCAGGGTTGGAGAGACAAGGAAGAGGGCTGCTATCACCTGGCACTGTGCTAACAAAGAGATGGTGCGGTTCCTGAGGACGGGTATGCTCGGCCCTGGGCTGTCACATCCCACCTGGTTCTAAGGATTAGCTAGAAACAGGACTCAGGCTTTTCTCCAAGTTCTGGGATGGAAAGAAGTGTGATGCCCCAAAGAGGGAATTTCTTACCAGGCCAGGGTGTGTTAGTTGACCTGCACTCGGTCATGGTGGTTTGTATTGACTGAGCAACCACTGTTTCCAAGGAGGTAGACCAGAGGACTTTTAACAAGGAGACCCCAGATCTAGAAGGTAGAACCATTTCACACCTCCTAGCTGAAGATGAAGACAAGCTGCCAGGCATCTCAGTCTAAACCAGCCATTCAGAGAGAAAGCTGTCACAGGCAAAGGGCTGCATAGTGACTTTTTGTTTCTGCTGTTCACCTTAGGACTGCATATACCAGGATTTAAAACCTTTCCCTAGCAGGGGGTGGTGGAACGCCTATCAACATAAAATGGTTGGCATTGTTCTAGACATCCAGTAGAATACCAGGCAATAGTTACTGAATCAATTATTTGTGTTAACATATAGTGTTGACTTCAAATTAAGTACCAATAGTGGGGAATCACATGTAGAATCACATACATGGCATATAACTCTGCATGTGATACATGCAGAGACATACATATGACATGCAAACAAACTTTCCTGGAAGGACATGCAAGAAACTGTTCACATGCTACCTCTGAGTAAAAGGGACTTATATATATATATATATGTATATAAAATCCCCGCCCCCCAAGACAGGGTTTCTCTGTGTAATCCTGGCTGTCCTGGAACTCGCTCTGTAGTCCAGGTTGGCCTTGAATTCAGAGATCCTCCTGCCTCTGCCTCCCGAGTGCTGGGATTAAAAGCGTGCACCACCACCGCCCGGTTTGACTTGTTTGCATTTTATCAAATTTTGTTGGATTTAAAAAATTATGTAATTATGGTATGCATGAAATAAATAAATCAAATCATGAATGAAAGTAGACTAAATCACAGGTGGACAAGGTCTTGGATTTGAGCAGGCTGTCATTACTTTTTGTTGTTCCAACATCAACAATCACTTTTGAGACTATTTCAGAATACTTGCAATTCAAGTCTGAGCTCTGCACATGGAAGTGTTAAGAGTGGAGGAGAGCCTGGCCGGTTTTCTATGTTTTATAATCAAGAGAAGAGAGTCATTCATGCCCCAGCCCCACCCGTGGGATCTGCTGCATATGGATGTACTTAGGTCCAAGTGTCAGAGCAGGAAAGGAATGCTGCTCTTCTGAAGAAGCAGCTCTTTCCGCCCCTGAACTTTCTACTCAGGCTTCTCTTTTTGGGTGAGGGGAGGAGGGCTGGAGACAGCGCTGTTGGAAGTGGGAGGAGCTGCTCCCAGAAGGAAGAAGCAGAAGGCCTGTGGGCATTGGGACTTCCTCACATGTCCACCCCTGTCAGGGTACCAGGAACCACACACTATCCTAGTCATCTTACAAGAAGGAAGACATCTCTCCACAACCCTCATTACTAATCAGTCAAGTACTTCCAAGAAATTTTTAGTTTTGATTCTGAGAAGTTTCTTCACATACTTAACAAATCTCTGGAAAACCAAACCCAAGCGACGGAAGAAAGAAGGGAAAGCTAAGACCGCTTTTTGGGTGTGTGCCTCACTTGTGTTCTTCGAAGCTGGGACTTCCAGCAGCCTGCGTTCTGAGAGGAAGGCCTCCAGCAGGCCTAGCAGGAAAGCACCCTGAGCCCCTAGCAGGAGGGCAGGCTTACCTGGTACCTTGTCTACGGATGCAAAGACAGAGCGCTGCACTGTGGGGTCACTGCTGCCTCTGCGGCACTGGTCATAGAAACGGAAAGGCAGGTGCTGGGAGGAGGAGGAGCCGAGTCCAAATCCCAGGACTTCAGTGGTAGGCTGGATTGGGAGGTCCAGAAGGGCTATAATCAAACAGCACCATAGTTTGTTCTTAGCATGTGGAACAGGGGACAGGCAGTTTGATATGACTTGGGCATCAGGCTAGAGTGATACCAGCCTTGACACTGTGACACTTGGGGGAATCCAACATACAGTCGTGAGGTGAGAGACTGGCAGGATGCCAGGGATCCTAAGGAAGTCAAAACACAACTAGAAGTAGGGGTTCAGGCCAAGAAGGCAAGGGTTCCAGACCTGGCTGGATAAAACAAATGCTGGGCCAATTTGCACCTTGAAATCTGTATAAAAGATCCCAAAGGCTAGGCTTGCATGCACTTTCAGATCCCAGAGCAAGTGAGGCCAATTCTGCCCCAAAAGTTTGTGCACAGGCATACATGGATAGACAAGCAAGCTATATGAGTGATTCCTCAGCATCTGCAGGACTCCTTCCCAAAGATACCAAAACCTGTAGTTAGGTCCCTTATATAGAATAGAACTACACCTGTACATGACTTATATACATCTTGTCTACTGTCAATCATCTCTAGATGACTTACATTTAACACAATCCAAGTGCTATGGCAGGAGTTCTTGCCTATGTTGTTTAGGGAGTAATCACATGGAAAAAGTCTGCATATGCTCAATACAGATGCAGATTTTTTTTCAGTTTCTTTTTGTGTATCTACATATATGTGTGGGTGTACATGCATGTGCGTGCATGTGTATATGGAGTTCAGAGGTCAATGATGAGCATCTTCCTTGAATGCTATCCAACTTTAACATTTTTCCTACATTGATTTTGTGAGTGTTTGGCTGTGTGCATGTACGCGTGCACACAGGCACCTATGTGTGGCATGGCACATGTGTGGAGGCCAGAGGACAATTTGTAAGAGTCAGTTCTCTGTGTCTACCAAATAGGTTCTAGGGATTGAACTCAGGCCATTAGACTTGGTGGTAAGCACCTTTACTTCCCAAGTCACCTTGCAATCCCTTTGCCTTATTTTCTGACACGGGGTTTCTTCCCCGACCTCAAGCTCACTAGCTGGGACTATAGCTGCCTGTAACAGCCTGCTTTTACATGGATGCTGGGAGTCCAAACTCAAACCCTCACGGTTGTGTGGCAAGCACTTCACTGACTGAGCCACTGCCCCAGCCTATTTCAGATTATTCAATACCTGGGTGGTAGAATCTTAAATATAAATGCTCATGAGAATAGTGTACAAGAAAGCATATGTTTGTATTTATGAGTGTGTGTTTACATGTCATAGCTGTCGTCTTCCCTTAAACAACTCACAGGACATATTAGTTCAGACTGGCTTTTCAAAATAATTGAAGAAACATCCAAGGTGTTCATGCTAGCAGACACTTGACAGTATAATCCTCAATTTTCAAATGAAATATCTGGCCTTCATGCCAGCGGTGGTACATTACATGTACTTCACATTACAGGGGGAAAGTGTGGAAATAAATCTTGAAAGGAAGGGCTGAATGATTTAAGTCACTTTACACATTACCAAACACTCCTGTAATGATTCTGCAGACCAGGTTTCAGCTAACTGAGAACTAAGAAGGGGGAATGACTCAGGTGCATATCATGTTCAGAAACGAAGTGCACCCAGAGATTCTTCTTCGTTTGTTCCCTGAGAGAATGCTCCTCTCCACGTGGGCTGGACATCCTCTTGGAAGCCACAATAGAGAGATGTTTGGACCTGAACTGAAGGCACTCATTTTGTCTGTTTGTCTGTCTGTTTGTCTATGTATGCATCTGTTTGTCTACCTATCTTCTATCTATCTATCTATCTATCTATCTATCTATCTATCTATCTATCTATCTATCTATCTACCTACCTACCTACCTAGCTTGTGAGACAGGAGCTCATGTAGCCCAGGCTGGTACTGAACTCATTATATAGTGACAATGACCTTAAATTTGTATGCCTTCTGCCTCCACCTCCCAAGTGCTGGGATAATAGGCATGTGTCACTACAACTGGTTTGCTATGGTGTCAAGGATCAAACCTAGGGCTTTGTATATGCTAGGCAATCAAATCATTCTACCACCCGAGTTACAGCTCTAACCTGGGATTCCTGAAGGAGAGGTGAGGACTGCCCCATGCCACCCTGCCCCTGGACAGTATTTTGACTTCCACTTCAGGAGATGAAGAAACATTCTCATTTCAGGGTCTTTAACAAGACAGTGTGGACAATGCAAACCCCACCATCCCTATGAGGTGTGAAATGACCCCTGAATCTAGTGCTGGGTGCTGACTTCTCACCAAGAGATAGTAAAGGACAGGAGGGAAGGGTGAGGGAAATTCTGCTAGGCTAGGGCAGCTCAGAGGCAGCCCTTGTCTAGCCATGTGAGGCCATGGACTTCATCCCGAGAGCTGAAACAAAAAAGCCAAGTAGGAAGCTTTGCAAATTTGTTCTCTGTGTGACTAAAAAGTCACAGCCTTAGTTTCCTCTTGTACAATGGGCAGATAAGGCTTTACCAGTCTAAGAGCTGCTTGGATACCCAACATGGCAGAGGGCAGTCAAAGCACTCTGTGACTGTATACTTTGGTGTTTCAGCATGAAGAGTGAGGACAGCTGTCTCCTACCAACTGCCTGTTTCTAGCCTCTTGTCTGTTAGGGAGGGCCCCCTTCTCTTCCATGCAGCCCTGGAAATTTTCTCCATTCCAATCACCTGGGAAGCAGGGACATCGCATTCTTTGAAGCACAATGAATCCTGACTCTCTCATGTCCTTGTCTACAGGAACCCTGGGACTTTTCTAAGTCAATGTGAACAGCCCTGTGGTGGTAAGCCCCTGCTCCTGAGGTCACTTACCGGCTATCCTTTGCATCTTCATACGCCTGGCCTGGATGCGGCCCTTGGCCAGGCGCTGCTTGGCGATGATGCAGCGGATATGATCAGAGAACACGAAGGTGGCCTGCAGGATGGGGAAGGGCTTAGAGTGTGGGCTGGAGGCAGGCTTGTGGATGGTGATATTCAGGGCACGGCTGTCATCCTCCACTCCTGTCACCTGCATGTCCTGCATAGTGAGAAGGCAAAGGCAAAATATTTATCAGGCCCAGGGGCTGGCAGATTGGGGGGTGTCAGTGACTCATGTAGAAAGACACCAGCACTTTGAGTCTGCTTTTGTTCTGAAGGAGGCCAAGTCTCAAAGATTCAAAGGTGCAGACCAGTGCAGGCCTGACAAGGGAGAAGGGGGTCAATGCTGCCATGGCTGGTACTCCTTTCCATGAGGACTTGGATTAAATGATTAAAGAGGCACACCAGCCTCTTCAAGGGCCACCACTGTCACAACAGGAAAACTCCAATAATCTTTCCTGCTGGGAAACCACAGGCCACAACTCCAAATACTTGTCACTACCTGGTGTCCTGTTAGACACCATCTCCTTGTTTCTCTTAAAAATGGAGCACTGTTGGTGTTCTTTGGTACATCTTGGACGACACCAGGACCATTTAGCAGTGATTTCACGTGAAAGGGAGAAAAGACACTGACGAGCAGTGAGTGTCTAAGACTGGTTCCACATAAAGCCTCAGGATGGGTTCTGCGCCAAGTCTGCTGCCCACAAAGGCTAAAAGGCACATGAGATAAAAGCGTACCAGACAGAAGATGGACTAAAGGTCAGCCATGCTGGAGGAGGTGGGAACCACTGAAAGCGGTTCAGAAGGAAGGGGCTACTGCTCTTGGGCACTGCTCTTGGCTCCCTCTTTGGAAAGAAGGTCTGTATCAAAGGCTGACAGCAGATCAGATGACACTATTATGAATTCAAAGCAGGGAGCTAGGTGTACAGTAACAGCCTGACAAATAGTAGCTACTGGAAGAGAACCAAAAAAGGTGGTGCTGGTGGGGCTATGTGGCTTTCATTGTCTGACAGAGGACATACATTAATCCTTTGAGACAGAAAAAAACTACTTTCTTAATGTTAAGTTCTAAAGAAATTGGTCTAAGTCTTGATAATAAGATGCAGGGCCATCTACTGGGTGGTTGGTGTTTTACTCAGGAGTCCCTTTGCAGGAGGGTGGAAAGATCCTCCTACATCCTCACTGAAAGACAGGAGGGTCTGGAAAGAGAGGAGTGTGGGAAAACAAGGAGACAGAAGCAGCATCTTCACGCACAGGTGCATCCCATGAAGAGCAGGCAACAATTGGCTGGTCAATGCTGCAGTGAGCAGTCGAATCAGCCTGGGCAAGGTCCTTCTGGGAACCAGAACAGCACAGCAAGGAAATGGACTTCCTTAAAGTAGTTAATTAATTAGTTCCAGGCTGGGAATTTAGGGCTAGGGCACAGTAGAGATGAAGTGGAAGGCTGCTCTCTGTTCTGAGGGCTCTTTGTCTCATTCCCTCTACAGTATGACACTAGTCACCCACTGTAAACCATATAGCTCCACTAATATGTGGTGCTTTAAAGCCTGCTATATTCCTGAGAGCAAAGGAGGGAATTCTCAGGAACTCCTGTTGCAACAATGGTGCTAGAGGAAGTTGGCAGGAGCTACAAACGCTTGAAATAGCCACATTCCAAATTCTTGGTTATCTGCCTAGGGAAATCCTGCCCAGGGGCACGAGGAAGTAGAGCACTAGGTTTGCAGCAGTATGCTTGGAAAGTTGGGGATGGCCGAATATGCCTCTGGCCAAGCATGCCCTACTGTAGCCACACAGCAGGTAAAAGAATCCCAGCAGGTTTTTTTAAGTACGACCTAATGATTCTCTGTATTTCCTTGGAGTCTATTGTTATGGCCCCCTTTTTGTTTCTGATTTTATTGATTTGGATGTTCTCTCTCTGCCTTTTGGTTAGTTTAGATAAGGGTTTGTCTATCTTTTCTATTTTCTCAAAGGACCAACTCTTTGTTTCATTGATTCTTTGTTTTGTTCTCTTTGTTTTATTTTATTGATTTCAGCCCTCAGTTTCATTATTTCCTGCCATCTACTCCTCTTAGGCATGTCTGCTTCTTTTTGTTCTAGAGCTTTCCGGTGTGTTGTTAAGTCACTAGAATGAGATCTCTCTAATTTCTTCATGAAGGCACTTAGTGCTGTAAACTTTCCTCTTACTTTCCACTGCTTTCATTGTGTCCCATAAGTTTGGGTATATCGTGCATTCATTTTCATTGAATTCTAGGAAATCTTTAACTTCTTTCTTTTCTTTTTTTTTTGTTTTGTTTTTCAAGACAGGGTTTCTCTGTGTTGCTTTGCGCCTTTCCTGGAACTCACTCTGTAGCCCAGGCTGGTCTCGAACTCACAGAGATCCACCTGACTCTGCCTCCCGAGTGCTGGGATTAAAGGCGTGTGTCACCACTTCTTTATTTCTTCTTTGACCCAGTGGTAACTCAGTAGAGAGTTCAGTTTCCATGAGTTTGTAGGCTTTCTGTTGTTTATGTTGTTGTTGAAATCATCACAGCCACTTTGGAAGTTAGTGTGGCTTCAGTTTCTCAGAAAACTGGGAATCAATCTACAAGACCCAGCTATACTGCTCTTGGGCATATACCCAAAGGATGCACAAGGACACTTGTTCAACTATGTTCATAGCAGCTTTATCTGTAATAGCCAGAATCTGGAAACAACCTGGATGTTCCTCAACCAAGGAATGGATAAAGAAAATAAAGAGAATGTGGTACATTTACACATGGAGTATTACTCAGCTGTTAAAAACAAGGACACCAGGAAATTTGCAGGCAAATGGATGGAACTAGAAAAAAAAAATCATCCTGAGTGAGGTAACCCAGAACCAGAAAGACAAACATGGTATATACTCACTCATAAGTGGATATTAGATGTAAAATAAAGGATAACTGTGCTACAATCCACAGACCCAGAGAGACTAGGTAACAAAGAGGGTTCATGGGGGTGGGATGGGGCAGAGACACAGATCTCCCTGGGAAGGGGAAATAGAAGAGATTTTGAGTGGACTGAGGGCAGGTGGGGATGGAAACATTAGTGATCAGATTGGGGGGGCATGTGGCAGGGAGAGTATTGCTGGTGTGCATTTTGGGGTCGGGTGGAAGTCTGGCGCAGGGGAACCTCTACAGGGAGGACCCCAGCTTAGACTCCTAGCAATAGCAGATAAGTAGCCTGAACCAGCCCAATTGTCATCAGAGACGTGTCATCCAGCAACTGATGGAGAAAGGTGCAGAGACTCACAGCCAAACATTAGGCGGAGTTTGGGAATCCTGAGAAGGAGGAGGAGAAAGGAGTGTAGGAGTCAGAGGGGTCAAGGACACCATGGGAAGGCTCACACAATCAACTAACCTGGGCTCATTGGGGCTTGCAGAGACTGAACAGATAACCAGGGAGCCTGCATAGGACTGACCTAGGCATTCTGCATATATGTTATATTTGTGTAGCTTGGTCCTCTTATGGGACTCCTAACAGCAGAAACAGGGGCTGTCTCTGACTCTTTTACTGGCTTTGGGACCCTACTCCTCATACAGGGTTGCCTTGCCCAGCCTTGATACATGGGGAGGTGCTTAGTTTTACTGCAACTCGATATGCCAGGTTTTACTGATACTCATGGAGACCTGCCCTGTCCTGGATGGAGACAGAAGAGGAGGGGATTGGGGGGTAGGAGCAGGGGGATGAGAAGAAGGGACTGGGAGGGGAGGATGGGGAGGAGGCTGCAGTCAGGATGTAAAATAAATAGATGAAAAAAAAAAAAGAATCCCAGCAGGTATGCATGTGCTAAAATGGCTAGACATACTCCAAGACAGGCTAGGAGAAAAGCCAGGTCTACAATATGGCCAATGTAACAGCATAAAAATCTATGCACACTCTAAATACATGTACAGTTATCCCTTGGGCACTCCCCTACCCACTGCAACACCAAAATCTGCAGATGTTCAAGTCCTTACTTTAAATGGCACAGCATCTTCCTATAACCTACTACATCTTCCTGTAGACTCTAAATCCTCTCTAGATGATGCATAAGACTTCATATCATATATATGCTGTGTAAATAGTTATTTAGGGAATAAAGATAAAAAAGCCTGCGCATGTTTGCAGCATTTTGTTGTTTGAGACAGGGTTTCTCTGTGTAGACCCGGCAGTCCTGGAACTTACTCTGTAGATCAGGCTGGCCTCAAACTTGGAGATCTGCCTACCTCTGCCTCCCGAGTGCTGGGATTACACGTGTGTGCCACCACTGCCTGATCATATTTCTTTCTGAAGTTTCATTTGTTTGTTTTTGAGACAGAGTTTCATTATGTAGCCTTGGCTGGCCTGGAACATACTATGTAGACTAGGTTGCCCTTAGACTCATCGAGATCCACCTGCCTCTGCCTCCCAAGCACTAGGATAAAAGGCATGTGCCATCACACCTGGTCTAGTGTTTTTTTTTTTTTTTTGAGACAGGGTCTCATGTAGCTCAGGCTGGCCTCAGACTCCCTAAGTAGCCAAGAATGACCTTTAACTTCTGATCATTAACTTCCTCTACCTCCTAACTTCCAGGGTTATAGACATGTACGATTATACCCAGTTTTATGTGGTGCTGGGAATGGAATCTCTAGGGCCTAATGCTTGCTAGGTAAGTACTCCATATCAACCAAGCTACAACCCAAGCACTCTATCCACACTCCCATCCTACCCCCACCCCCATTTAAATTAGAGACAGGGTCTTGCTACATGGACTTACCTGACTGGTCTGGAACTTCCTGAATAGACCAGTCTGTCTTTGAATTTGTGGATATCATCCTGATTCTACAGGCCTGTACAACCATGTAGTCCTTCCCTGCCAAGTTTGTCTGACAGTTGGTTGGATACACAATTTAAAAAACAGCACATGCAGTACTTGCACTTAGCAGTGAAGCAGAAGTAGAAGGACAAGCCTGACAATGGACTAGCTCCTGTAGGGGAGGATGTTAGGAGGGTAGGTGTTAGGATCAAGGTTTCAGTACAGGGGACTTGGCTCTTGTCTCTGCAGTGTTCTGGCTTTTGTGCACATCCTTCTTGTGTCATCAGAAGTGATTATAGAGCTGACACTTGGGCATGCCTGTGGAGAGCTGGCTGAGAAGGCAGATGGGTTCTTAGACTCTCACCTGCAGAAGGCCTGCGAACTTGACAACTCCCCAGCCGAGCCTGGACACATCAGGCTCCACCAGGCTCATCTGGTAAATATCCACAGCCAGGAAGCGCTGGACCATGCCGCCGTCCTTGGTGATAACTGTGCATGCGATCAAGTCACTGTTATCTAGGAGGAGGAGCAGAGAGTAGAATGAGGCCTAGCTCAGCTATCCAACCATCTCTTGAGGGGCCCAGTACCATACAGAACTGGGTTTGAGTGCCTCTTAAGCTAATTTTGCTACGAGTTTCTTTACCTCTTTAGGCCTCAGATTTCTTAGGCTCTCAAAGCAATGCTTATTGGGACTGATACAAAGCACACAAACCATTAGCTAATAAGTACACAAGCTATGGTGGGAAAATAACTAACGACTGAGTGAGAGCATCGCTCAGGGGTAGAACCTGCCTGGCAGGTATGAGGTCCTGGGTTCAATCCCCAGCACCAAAACAACCACCACCCAACAGCCCAAATCCCAGGGACACTCTAGTGTTCCTTTGGGGCCAAAGGTAGTTTATAGCTATGATGATGGTTTTTGCTTATGTGAAGACAGGAAAACAAGGTCCCCTGCTCTTTGCAGCAGTACCACAAATCCTCAATGCAGTGTCTGGCAACTTAAGAGCCCAGCTCTGAACTAGGTGGAGTATGACCCTGGGCCAGGTACTTGACCCCTCTGAACCAGGGCTTTCCATCTATGAAATGGGAAGAAGGCCCCCTTATCTCAGGATATTTGGTACAGAAAACAACAGCTGCTAAGAAGGTATTCAGTATGAAATAATACACAAGCGAGCACATCGCAGGTCACTTCTCCTTCTTGAAATTTATACCCCAATCTGTTTTATTTAGCACCAATGACTCTGAAGTCACCTGAGTTATACAAGCCATCAATCATGCCTGCAGTCCAGGCTGAGTTCCAGCCAATGGGATCTTCTTTCATTTATGTTTTCAAGAGATAGCTAAACCAGGAAAACCCCCAAATGGGGGAACAACTTGACCCTGACTTTTTCCATCAGATGGAAAATTACAAAGCTGTAGCCCAACACTAAGCTTTGAGCAGTGGCTGTCTGTGAGGAGGGAAGTAGGACCTGGGAGGGGAGCATGTATAAAAGAGCACTAGGACTAATGGAGGAACTTTCATTGGAAAAGAATTGCTTTTGATTACATTTACTTAGTTATGTGTGTGCATGTGCTCTCATCCCATCGTATGTGTGACGGTCTGAGGACAACCTGAGGGGGTTAGTTCCTCCCTTCTACTATGTAGGCCCTGAGAACTGGTCACAGGTCCTCAGTATTGGCAGCAAGTGCTTTTATCCACTCAGCCATCTTGCCAGACCCCCATTTATTTTTTGAGACAGGGTCTCACTATTTAGCCCTGGCTAACCTGGAACTTGATTTGCAGACCAGGCTGGCCTTGAACTCACAGAGATCCACCTGCCTCTGCTACCCAAGTGGTGAGATTAAGGGCATGGGCTACCATGCCTGGTCATGTTTTTATTACACATACCACTCTATTGCTTAAAATTACTTTTAAATGAGAAGGTATTTAAGATATGTGTTGGGGAATATTAAAGTGTGTTACTTTTGTTTGTGTTGCATTTGTTTAACTCTGTGAAGTTGTGTTACTGTGCCTGTGTAAAACACCTGATGGCCTAATAAAGGACTGGCCAATAGCAAGGCTGGAGAAAGGATAGGTGGGGCTGGCAGGAGAGATAGAATATATAGAGGGAGAAATCTGGGAGGAGAGATCTAGCAGCCAGGGAATGAGGAGGACTCCAAAGGCCAGCCACCCAGCTACACAGCAAGCCACGGAGTATGAGTAAGATTTACAGAAGTCAGAGAATGGGAAAAGCCTAGAGGCAAATGGTAGATGGAATAATTTAAGTAAAGCTGGCAAGAAACTAAGCCAAGCTAAGGTTGGACATTCATAAGGAAGAATAAGCCTCCATGTATGATTTATTTGGGACTGGGTGGTGGGCCCCCAAAAAGAGAAGAAACAAACAACAGATGTGCTTTTAAAAATTGTGGGGCGTTCACCCACCACCCCCACAGTTCCCCAGAGTTTTCTTGAGTGTGAGCAGCAGGAAATATTAGATAGAAGGATTTATATTGTGGAGATAAACAAATAGAAAACAAAGGATAGTCTCGAGAGGGCCTGGAACCTTTTCCAACAGGCCCCGACTGTCTCTGCCCCAGGGTTTTTATAGAGACGCCAAGGGGTGGAGCAAAAGACCTCCTCCCCCAGCACAGCCAAGTGCAGACCATCTCAGACACCTGACTCAGGCCCGTGGTCCTAATCATCCTCTATGCAGACCCGCTGGGTAAAGCCACGAGGAACCCGAGAACGGGCTCCCACAAACAACAACAACAACAAAAACCTAAGGTAAAAATCATACTGAGTCTGGAGATGTAGCTCAGTGGTAGAGTACTTGCCTAGAAAACAGAAGGCCAAAGGTTTGATTCCTGTTAGCACATATGTGTACAAACTGTGCTCATGTGAGGTTAGGGTTTAGTTCAGTGGTAAAGCATTTGCCTAGTATGTGTGAGGCTCTGTCGAGGTTTGAGTTTGATTCTCAGCCATGGGGCACGGACTATTTACAAACTACAACAATGGGAAACAATACAATTTTAAATGAAAATGAAGGTAGAACATTTAGTTTTGTGATTCTGAGATATGAGGAAAGTATTTCTAAAAATAATTGTAAGTCTGGGCAAAGGGAAAGGTAACAAAGGGGGTACTGTGGTGATGTTGTGTCCCCCAATATATTGTGCACCCTAATAAACTTATCTGGGGTCAGAAAACAGAACAGCCTCTAAACACAGAGGCCAGAAAATGGTGGCACAAACACCTTTAATCCCAGCATTCTGGAGGCAGAGAGCCATCCGAATCTCTGTGAGTTCAAAGCCACACTGGAGACAGTCAGGCATGGTGACACACGTCTTTAATCCCAGGAAGTGATGGCAGGAAGCAGAAAGGTATATAAGGCGTGAGGACCAGGGACTTTTAAGCTTTTAGGCTTTTAGCAGCAGTTCAGCTGAGATCCATTCGGATGAGGACTCAGAGGCTTCCAGTTTGAGGAAACAAGATTGGCTGAGAAGATGGCGAAGTGAGGTTAGCTGTTGCATGTTTTGCCTCTCTGACCTTTCAGCATTCACCCCAATACCTGGCTCTGGGTTTGTTTTTATTAATAAGACCTTCTAACAATTTATGCTACAGGGTACATTCTAGCTCCAAACACAAATGGCAACAGACTTGGACTTGAATATTGTCTAAGGGCATCACCTCATACACATAGTTTTCCACTTTTCGACTGGCCTGATGGTAAGAGGGAATCTCCCCACTTCTCTTTCTTTAGGCTGCCCTAGTAGGATACAGTTTAGTTTGGCTCTTTAAGGTATGAACTGCTTGGAAATCTGGGTTCTGTGTGAATGTTTACAGAATATTCTCCCTGCTTATTTATTTTTTTTAATATGGGCTTTATGCTTCCATCTCCTCTTTGGAACATGACACCTGGGACACCATTCCCTGAAGCAAATGCCAGCCCAAATGGGGCAATTGTCTGGATCTACACTTGTCCTTTCTTGTTATCTATGACAAGAATCTCCTTTTTCATCCCAGCTATCCGGTCAAGGATATAGAACTTTTAGACAGGGTCTTCCTATTTAGTCTAGGTTAGCCTCAAACTTACTATGTAGCCTAGGCTATCCTCCAACTCAAGGTGATCTTCCTGCCTCCTAAGTGCTGGGATCAAGGCATGAGCCACCCGATCTGGTTTATATTTGAACCTGATTTTTTTTAATTTTTTTCTTTTGGTGGTGTGCATCTGTGTGTATGTGTGGGTGTGTGTGCACATGCATGTGGATGCCAGGGTCAAGCCTGGGTGTCATTTTTCAAGAGACACCCATCTTCTTTTTGGAATCAGGGTCTCTCATTGGGATCTGAGGCTCATGAATAAAGCTAAACTGGCTGGTTGGCCATCGAGCTCCAGGGCTCCACCTGCCTCTGCCTCCTCAGGGCTGGGATTTTAAATAAACACCACCCACATCCAAGGGATTGAACACAAGTCCCAACATTTGCAGGGCAAGCATTTTACCATCTCCCCAGTCCCTTGACCTCGATATTGCATGACTCTCTTGTCTTTTTAGCTATCAAGAGTGAAAGCTATCTTGCTCATTCTTAGAAGTATCTAAGTGAGGTTTATTTCCTTTACTCAATATTTAAAATATTTCCTCAATGAGAATCTTTTACTTTTAAAAATTCGACAAAGTCAGGCATTGTGTGGTGCATGCCTTTAATCCTGGCACTTGCAGGCAGGGACAGGTGCATCTCTGAGTTCAAGGTCAGCTTGGTCTATAAAATGAGTTCCAGGACAGCCAGGGCTACACAGAGAAACCCTGTCTTGAAAAACCAAACCAAACCAAACCAAACCAACCAACCCAACCACCCACCCACCCACCCACCCACCCACCCAGCCCCCAAACCCTAAAACCAAAAAACCCACACCTGCATTTTTCTTTTCCTTTTCCTTTCTCCTTCCTCCCTCTTCCTTTTCCTAGCCCATCATTAGGACAACAAATCTTTTTTCCACCCTTGCACTTGTGAAAGATCTGGTCTGACCAGTCACAAATGATGGTGACTTGGGCTTGTTGGGGCTGGTGGGATTCACTGACAGGCAGCTGAATACCTCACAGAGCTGAGCTGTCTTAGGGGCTTCAGGGAGCAATACCTACCACTGTCACCACAAAGAACAACAACAAAAAAGGATAGACAAAACCCCAAACTGGAACAGCTTTCAGAGATGTCACTGAGACATCAAAGTCCCATGAAGACACAGGGAGATTTCATAAGAAATAAGAATACAGTGTGCAGGTGAGGGAACAGTGGGGACAGGTAAAGAAGAAAAGAAGTGAAATCCAGAGATTAATTGGGAGCACAGTACTTGAGAAAGCAAGTAAGTACTGGCTTGGAGTGACTTGCATGTGGGCCTGTCATGTGTCACTTTAGGAAGTCCTGCCCCCAACTCATGTGGAAGTTTAAGATGCAGGAAGAGCCTAGAGAGCCGCTGAGTAGAGCCCTAGTTTGCCCATAGTCTCCATCTTCAGAAGAATGGGTGTGGATTCTCCCAGGAGTCAGA